TTTTATTCGGTAAGAATGATTTCAGCGTTGAAAGGCCCTTCAACTTGAACAAACACCGGAGCTATTTTCGATCCAGATAATTCGATCTTCTCACCCATGATGATAGATGAGAACGACGATTAGGGTTAAAAAAATTTGTTCGGCTCTGATACCATGAAAATTGGGAGAAAAACAACACCTCTTTATTTCATTCATTAACATGGTTTTATATACAACCCTAATAGAATAAGATAAACTAATTACAGGCAAGATCCTTTAACTAAGAGCTAATTACAACATAACCTCAACACTATGATCTTGACCAAATTATCTGGATTAGATGAGTCTCTTGGATGAATCACAATGGAACTTGGAGCTTGGTACTTGTCTCTTCTCCTCTAATGGGAGCAAATAGATAGAGGCACAACCAGACATACCAAGACTGCAAAAATTGCAACTAGTTTAGACTTGTTGGAACTCTACCCTACGGTTGGCACGTTATTATAAATTGATCCAGTAGTTGGTGAAGGTGGTGGGGTGCGTGGCTGTGAACCCTCAGATGGACTATTACCTGGCGGAGCGGTTGGTCTGGAAGTATTAGAGTTTAATAAAGGATTCCCATATAACACAAGGTTTACAGTGCTATTGAAATTTGGCAGAGGTGGGGAAAGGTTGTTGTTGCTCAAATCCAACAATGTCAAAGATTTTAAGCTAGTCCAATTTGTTGGAATTGGACCAGTTAACTGGTTAGATCGAAGTATATTTGAGTAAGGGAATCCAGGTTTGCAATTGAAGGACTCAAAGTACCAGTAAGATTAGATTCGGGCAAGGTTACTGTAGAAACCTTTCTGTTGACGTCACAAGTCAATGCCAACCATGGTCCATCACATGGATTGTTACCTGACCATGCAGAAGCAAACTTAGATGGATAATTAATTGCATCAAGGAATTTCAAGAGCGCCATGACTTCTGGGGCACAAGGAACCCCGGGAATAGATTGACAAAACGGATTTGATTCATAGGTAACATTGGCAGCTTTGAACTTTGGTATTGGACCCATGAATTGATTGTTATTCAAGTCTAGACTGAATAAATCCATACTTGCCAAGCTATCAGGGATTAGGCCAACGAGGTCATTGTCATTCAGATTGAGATCTTTCAACAAAGTTAAATTACCAATGTTCTCCGGAATTTTGCCTAAAAATGTTTCCCATGAAGCCACAAACTATTTAGTGATCCTAATGTAGAAACTGCATCAATTGGACCAGTCATCCCATCCCCCGACTGTTGGTTCAACCAAAGCATTTTCAACACAGAATCCTTAAAACTCATTGGAATACCCCAAAGATTGATTAAACGACAATAACAACACCGATAAGGACGACATGTTTCCCAAGAATTTTGGTAATGGACCAACCAAATTACAACTCATCAGTGTGAGATTGGTCAATTGAATTGAATTTTGCAATTCACTAGGCAGTAACCAGCCAGTGGTGGCATTGAGTGGGTTATAATCCAATGCCAAAACCTCTAATTTCACAAGTCCATTGAAGAAATCTGAAGGAATTGTATCAAAATTGTTGTGACCCAAATAAGCATACCTCAATTCTGATAACCCACTAAAAGATGGTAGCATTCCACTGAATTGATTCTTTTGAAGGCCTAGGTTTGAGAGCATAGGCAACTGGTTCAAGTTCTTGGGCAAAGTACCCTTCAAATTCAAAATTTGAACTTGAATTTGAGAAACCTTGTTGCCAGAACAAACGATATGTGGCCAACTTGGGGGACCACATGGATCATCACTAGTAGTCCAGTTCAAGAGTTCAGGGTTCTCCAATCCATCTCTGAACTGGTTGAGAATTGCAAGGTCATTAGAGTCTGTAACACCAGAAAAAACTGAAACAAGAGAGAGACAAAAGTGTTAATGCAAGCATTATCATTGACAACAAATTGCAAGCAGCGAAGCTACATGGGCTCAGAAGCTACTTGAGGGCTCTAATGGCTGTTTCTTGAAACACCCATGTCAAAATCAATGGAGAGAGAGAGAGAGAGAGTGAACATGTGTTTCAGATCAGAAGAACCCGAGATAGACCACAAAAGGTGGACCTTTGAGACGAAACTTTCAAAACCCAGGTGGACAAATTTGAAATCTAATTTTTTTTTTTTTTTTGAGATGTAATCTAATTGAAATGAAGCAGAGGTAGATTTGGGTATCTGCTCTGTAACTCCATTTCGTTTTCTTCTTCATGATATCATCTACATTCTGCGTATGCATGTGTTAGAAACATTAGTTGTATTCAATCAAAAACTACGTTGCTTTGTGATTTTTAAGAATGAACAAGTCGATGTTTTGTTCTAGAAATCCGTGTACGTATGATTTTGATTTTTTTGTCCTTTAGAAGTTGCCTTGCGAAAGTCTCTTGGGATCACAGACTCTATTAATACTAGTATTTAAATTCCATATGCAATGCAGTTCGGATACCGTGGGAAAGGAGCTCTAATTTGGACTTTTATGATTTTGCAAACAGCACTAACTTTGACTTAAATGTTATTCATCCGTTCCTAAATATCTGTCGTTTAAAATTTTTACACAGAGATTAAAAAAGCTATTAAATAACTGTAATATGAGTAAAAAATAATTACACAAGACTAAAATACTCTTATTCAATACGTATTGAGAAATAAATAAATATAAAAAATACTTAGCTTCCATCTAATCTACTGCATTAAAAAGTTAAGGATAAATTTTAAAAAAAATATATTAATTATACTTTAGTTTCATTAAACAACAGATATTATGGCACAAAAAAAATTATGTAAAACAACAGATATTTAAAAACAGATAAAGTAATTAATAAAAAAAAACTTAAATTTAGGCTCAATTTAAATTTGAGTCAAAATAGTCCAACATTTTTTTCCAACCTTATACCAAATTGCTAATGACTAAAGAAAAAACTTATTTTTGACCCAATTGAGATAGACTTAAATCATATATTAAATTTCTAACAATAATTTTTTATCCTATCCAAACCCAAAAGAGTCGAACCCTCCTTCGACAAAACAAATTCTTGTCTCTCTTGTCTCTATCTTCAAAATCGCTACCATTACCGTCAATCACACTGTCTCTTCTTACCTATATTTTTTTACGGTAACTATTTACTCTCTCTCTTTATCCTTTTTCTCTCTTATAAATTTATTCTCAAAAAATTTATCTCCCTCTCTCATCTTTCGTACTTAGTAAAAAGCTCACGAATCTACCACTTAAAGGTTGATATTTATGCTTTTTTTTGGTTAATATTTGTGTAGTTTGTAAGAAACATGTTTTAATATTAAAGAGCATTTTCTGTTTCTTCTTTTCTATTTTAGAATTAGTTGTACAATTGGAAATATATATGATAATGATTTTCTATTTTAATTTTCTAAGTCTTATTATCTTTGAGTTACAATTCGAATAAATGGTTTTTGCCTATAGTCCAAATCTTTTGAGAACTGTGAGAAATTAATTTTAGAGTAATGATTGAGAGGGATAGAGGTTTTTAAAGGGAATGAAACAGTAGAATGAGAGATGATAAAAATTTTGGTAGAAAAAAATTAAAAAATGAGCTTCGAGACTGTAACAAATTTGTTTAAACGATTTAAGTAAATATTTGGAGTGTTTTATACCAAATTAAGTTTTTTTACTTAAATTTGAGTCTAAATTTGAGTCATGGTCAAAGATGAACTTAGGTGCTTCATTGTTTTTGGTTAATAATTTTAGGTATATGAGATTTATTCTACAAGGTTGGATCCAATGTGACCCAAATCCTGTTCCAACTTTAGAATTTGCATCGATGGCAAGTTAGTATGCTCTCTCTCTCTCTCACACACACACTCACTCACTAAATTACATATTACTACACTAAAAATAGAGCGTGTAATTTTTTTTTTGCTAAAAAAAAGGGCGGTTAGGGATGACAAGTGGCATAGCAACTCTGAGGACACTACTTTGAAGTTTTCAATCTCTATAGAATGTTCAGTTTAAACCATAACTATTAACCTGGAATGGTTGAACCCGTCACTACAACACCACCGAGAACAAACTGAATATTCAACTCCTCCAGCAATTTCTAACACACAGGGATTACTACTGTAAATGGTTCAAACTCAGAGGAGGGCAGGTCTGATGAAGCCAACTAGTATTACTAGAGCATGTACTTATCTTAATGGCATGTGTATCATTGCCAATTGAGATTGCTCACATAGAATGTTTGGAGCAAAACCTTACCATATTTGGGTTTAAGGGTGTCTTTATAGCATGGTTTTCAGGCAAAAGGTTTTGTGAACACCAAGTAATCAAAGAAATAGGTTAAACACCACCCCTAAAGAGTTGCCAAAAAAAAATTTCTCTTCTCCTTCCACTCTCTTCTTTCAATTTGATTTTTATTTGGTTGGCTGAGTCAAGGCCTTTCTCATTGGGCAAGCACAAAGCATACCCCTTCACCCATCCCAGGATGGTATTTTAAGTCGAACTGGTTGATAGAAAACCAACAAAGATGGGGTAAATGATTTCCAAATTTCAACACAAATTATGCAAATTATACGTAACATGCACGTGACTATTTTCCGTGGCCAAATTAACTGCTATAAACTAGTTGACTCGACCAGAATCTGGAAACATAAGTGCCAAATTGAAGCCAAACAAACCAAGGCCACAATTTACAGAATACAAATGTAATTTTCCCAGAAAAATATGTTTGAACAAACAAAAAACACATTACAATACAACAACATACAAGTACCAATCATGTTTGAGCATTACTTAGCCACATAACAAGATATAATAGTGTAAAACTAACAACTTTTAAATCATAGAAAACAAAGGCTAACTGCCCGGAGGTGCAACAGCTGGAAGACTTGGTTCGACAACCTGAAGTGTACATGTTGCTAGCCTTCTTGTCAGATCCTCCACAGATACCTTCAAGACATCGCTCCTCATGCCAATGTCAGCAGCAACACGACTAGCACAGTAGACCCCAACAGCTGTTACTGCCATTCCATAGACATTGTTTGTCACAAGGCGCAATGGTGTAGACAACACAGCGGCAAGAGGGCCACCTATAATAGATACTGCTTGTCCACTCTGCCCCATTGTTCTCTGATCCAGAACAAGCAGTCCTGTCTTGCAGTAGATAGCAAAGTCTTCACAATTGTTATTAAATACATTATAGCATCCAAAGCCATTGGTATATAGGTAGTTTGCTCGATGAACTACAACATCGTCTGGATCTGAGATGGCAAGAGTACAAGTTCCGCCACGTGCTTTTGCGAGAAAGAGAGTAGGATTAACAGCATACTCAAAACGGTACAGGATGCCACCATCAAGGAAGCAGTTCAGGCACGAGGAGACTACTCCATGATCTTCATCTTGCGGATTGCACGTGGAGCACGGCACATGGGTTCGGGATGATCTTGAGCTTACCAAGAGGACATCCAGCACTGTCCCTATTCTTAACTCTTGGCCGCGTCTAGTAAAATGAATGACCTTATTATCCCCAACATAGATACCTAGCATTCATATGATATGATATGACATAGTTTAAGTTATCAGTGACCAAATGAGCAAACATAAATGTAAGTATGTTGTTATTACTGATGAATCAAATAGAGAAAGAGAACTTCAATCACCAAAATGAAATTAAAGTGGCATATAAATTAATAAACCGAAATCATCTGCATAATAAAACCTCTATGTCAGTCTACAACATCTTCTGGACAACATTACCCAGACTAGATATTGACCAGTGAGGACAGGAAGACAGATAGAACCTCGAGAATACAACCCAAAGTTCTAATCCAAGGTCCAGTGATTACAGCATTAATTTATCAGTTAAGAGGACCTGTGTCTTTAGCTGGCAACCTAAACATATTCTGGAATTTCCTCTATTTTTTGGTTCTACAAAAAACCTAAGTTTCACAAGAATCATTTACCCCTACATGTTAAGAGCTGCTTAACGTGCAACTCTTTCATAAATTGATGTTTGCAATGGCAAATTTCACAAAGTTGCGACAAACAGATGGTCTCCTAATGCAATTTTGCATGTACCTTACAGAAGTCTTTAGAAAAGGTCCACAGTGAAGGCTGAGCTGCAATGTCAATGGACTAAAACCACTGAATTGGTTCCGTTATTAGACGTGTATCTTACATGAATCCACATAAAAATGAAAATCTTTAAACACTTCCCATGAACCCTCATCCACCCCTTAACAACACTACATACGTGGTATCACAATACAAGAACTAGCGTCATGTATGAGCAATTAAAACCCAAAAATAAACGAATTTGAACCCTAGACTTCGTTTCTTGCAAAAATGTTTTGGCAATTCATGCATAAAATATCAGTAGGTCTAAAACAGATGCATATAATTAATGTCATAGGGAATTTGGTGTTCTTCTGAAGTATCCATCCTCCTTAAAATCAAGGCGAGGGCCAATAAGGAGAAATATCAACCAGCTTATGTTTTTTCTAAATTTTGTTACAGTTCAGTAAGCTTATGAACTATTCTCTGGCTACCCATTTGCAACATATTTAAAAAAAAATAACAAAAAAAATTTGCAACATATTTGAAACCCTAAACTAAATATCAACAGGAAAAGAACCTTTTCTAGAAACAAATACAAGCATAAATTTTACTCTTAACTTCAAATAAACAACTGTCATGTTATTTGCGTTCTAAATTTGGTCTTAAATTTTAGTCAGTATACCATTACTCTTAATCTTTTCACATTTCATGTGCACAGCTCTTGAACAATCAAATTCAGTCAGAACGGGCTCTGACCATGATATATAAACACGGTTTATACATACATATATATATATATATATAGAGAGAGAGAGAGAGAGTTCTGACCATGATGAGCGTAAATATAAACAGAGCGCCAGGAGTAGATGTGATCGCCGGGTTTGAGGCTGTCTCTATCCACTCTGCATTTCAATTAACAAATTAAGATTGTTATTAAAACTGATAAGAGAGTCTGCAACTTGGATGATCAAAGGATTATTTTTTACCTGTTGGAGAGCAAACCCATTTCTCTCTCTCTCTCTAAACGGACGGATAGTTGCAGAATATCCTTTGCTGAAGATATGGATTCCTAAGTTCAGTTGTCTCCAAGGAATTTATTACGTGTAATATAAGTAATTACAAAAAGCGCCTTTAATTTTACTGAAACTACGATCTAGCCCCGTGAATTTCCTTTGAAGTTTGAACCCTTCGTCGTTAAGGAAGACAGAATAGATAGATGTATACATACAGTGGCTTGCGGGGCGCATGTGTGTGTCACCGCTGTTGGACAGCTGTCCCAAAAAAAGGTGGAAGTGGTGGGATTATTCCCGCCCCTTAAATGTCATTTTCCAACTCAATTAATAATTATACTTTAAACTACTAAATTGATCTCATTTAATTCACCGCTTTAATTATTAAACTCACCTTATTTATATTCAATAATTAAAAGTTAAATTCATTTAATCTTATTTCAACCTACTATCTAGTCAATACAGAATAAAAATTAATAATTATTTTTAAAATATTAGTTAAAATATTTTAAAATATTCTAAAAATATTGATAAAAATATATTAAAATAATATAAATCACTTCAAAACATTGAAATTTCGTTTCAATCATTATTTTTATTTTGATTTCTTTGACATATATTTGATATTTTAATTGAATGAATATAAATAAGATAAATTCAATAACTAATGAGGTGGATATACATGAGATAAATTTAATTATTTAAAATAAAATAATTAAATAAGGGAAAAAAGAGTTTTAAAAGGTGGGAATAATCTACACTCCCAAAAAACAGAGACTCAAAATACGTAGTCAGTGTTATGGGCCTGTTAGTCCAATTAGTTTAATGCCCTTCTAGGAGAATAGGGTGAGAGCCCCTATGATAGTCCAACCTTACATGACTTATGGGCTATAGCTTAGATGAGAGCAGAGAGAAAACTCAAAGTGGGAATTAAACTGCATGGGATTGGGATGGGCTTCAGCGCAGGGTACAGTAGCACACATCTATTACATAGAGAAAAGGGAAAATTAGAAAGGAGCACAACAAATTAAACTTAATAGTAAAAAAGTATAAAAAAAATATTGGGTAATTAAGTCCTTAATTTTGATATTTATTTGTATCCAAGTACATTATTTGAATTTTACTAATTTTTTGTGATATTTTTGTCTTTCATTGATTAATGTGTATTTTCTTTGAAAAGTTGTGCATTAAACATCTCATAGTTTTATGGGAGAATTTTAATATTCTATATTTGTATGACCTCCCTTGATTCATGCGTTTTTTTTAAAGTAGTTTTGTTTTCAAATTATATTTAACTCACCTTTATTTATACGTATTTTTTTTAAAAAGTGATTTTGTTTTCAAATTATATTAATATCCGAAGAGTGTACAGTGTAACAATAATAGTGTAATAAATCATTTACACAAAATATTGTACTATTACATTTTGTCAAACATATATTTTTATATAATTTCATTCAAAACAGTTCATATCTGTTTTGAATTTGTTATCACATGCACAAAACTATCGAACACTGTTTTTGTTACATTTTTATGGAGTTCTGATATTAAAAAATATTGAAATTCAAACAAGTGATATATTATAAAATAAACGAAATATTAAAATTCTCCTATAAAACTAGTAGTAGTAAATATTTAATGCATAAATATAATTTAAAAATAAAATCACTTTCCAAAAAAAAAATACACATTAATTAAGGTGCATTAAAGATAAAAGATTTTGAATTAAATGACTCTAAATTTCAACGTTTAATAAATGTCTTGTTAAAATTTTTAGGAAAGAAAATTTTACAAAATTTATATTACTTACGTGACAAGTTGGTTATTAATTTTTGTGAGATTCATTCACTTATTTGATTATTGATTAGTGATACCACATCACACTATCATGTGGTATCATCATTGTAATGAATATTTTCTCTTTCTGCATGCATGAGTAAATTAGTTAGTACAGGGTTGGACATCCTGTATAAAATAAAAAAATAACGCACATTTGACCTTTTTTTTGTTTAACTGTTAGGGATGTCCGAGTCATCTTACGCGGACCTTAACTAATTTTGTTCTTCGACCGTTCAAAAGTAGGTCATTCACACAGGGATTAGGGACAGATCCCTCATGACCTGACCCAAAGAGATTATCAAAATTCAAACTCAAAATATTCAAATTAACAACTCGTCCGTATTATCACTTAAATCACCTCTCAAAGTTAATATGATATTTTCTAATTCGAATAATAACCATAATCTCGTGCATTGAATAAACCTATTTAATCCAAATACAAAAATCATCCTAGTCTATCATCTCAATAGATTCGAATCTACATCAAACCAATGGAAGGACCAGGCTACAATACATCCAAGGGAATTTTCGGTATGGTACGGAAAATTTTTGGCAGCTAAAAGCTAAAAAAAATATTGCACAATGATGTAGAGATAGACACGTGTGAAGGCAAAGTAAGGCAATCAGATTGATCTATTGCCACTTATAATGTACAACAATGACGGATGAAGGATGTACCAAATCAATGAGTGAGTTACAAAGATTATGGAATATTTACAATATTACTTGCAAGATTTACAATAATAATGAGTACAATAACAAAGATAATGATATTCTTACAAAGTCATTGGAACCAAGTACAAGGGTAATGATATATTTACGACATCAGTAAGAAATGTAAAAAAGTAATGGGATAGATACAAAAGTAAAGGTATATTTACAATAAAAGTGGAAAAATTACAATGCATAGTCAATGTAATAGATGATCGATCATAAAATATTGATCGATCTAATAAATGTATGATCGATCACTATGTTGAAAGGTCTTCTATAAGAAAATGAAATTTTGGAAAAAAAAAGAATAAATATATAATTTGACCAATCACGAATATGATGATCGATCATAGTGCTTCAATAAGGTGTTTTTGCAAAATTATTGTGATGTTAACGGTATTACTAAGTAAAAGTACAAAATTAATGGTATAATTATAACAAGATTGGGAAATTTTTAAATTCAGTGAAACCAACTACAAATTTAATGGAGTATTTACTATTTCAGTAAGAAATGTACAATAGTAATTGGGATAGGTACAGATATAAAGATATATTTATAAGCATAGTGGATAAATTTACGAAGATATAGTCAACGCAATAGATTGATCAATGTAATATATGATCAATCATTGTATATTGATCGATCAACATGTGCTAAGGAGTGGTGTAAGAAAAATAATTTTTTTAGAAAAAAATAAAAAAATATATAATTTGACCTATCGCGAATATGAATAATCGATCCTATTTGGCTCAATAAGGTATTTTTACAAAATCATTGCGAGGTTAACGATATTAATGGACAAATTACAAAATAAATGGTATAATTAAAACAAAGTGAGAAATTTTGAAAATCAATGGAACAAACTACAAAGGCAATGAAGTATTTACTATATCAGTAAGAAATGTACAAAAGTAATTGGGATAGATACAACATTAAAGATGTATTTACAACCACAGTGGATAAATTTACGAGGATAATATACTTGTAGTCAACGTAATGGATCGGTTAGTGTAATATATGATTGATCATTATATATTGATCGATCGAATAAATATATGATCAATCAGTATGTGGTAAGGTGTAGTGAAAAAAGAAAAAAAAAGTATTGAATTTGATTGATCAAACGTATATGGTGATCAATCATATTGGGACAGGTCTGTGGTTTGAATCAGAAGTAATAAAAGTACTATGTGGGTCTAATCGATCGTGTAAAAATATGATAGATCAGTAAGTAATAAGTGTATTTAATAGATCAAAAAATACATATTGATCGATCACATTGTTGCAAAATGGAGAAGTGAATCAGAAGTAATAAAAGTACTAAAGAGAGAGGATCGATCGTTAAAAAATTTGATCGATCTAATTAGTAAGTAAATTCGATCGATCAAACATATATATTAATCAATCATGATATTGGAGATTTATATTGTGAATCAAAAGTAAAAGTACTGGAGAGATTTAATCGATCTAAACCATATTTGATCGATCAAATTGTTGCAGATTGTTAAGGTAAATCAAAAGTAAAAGTATTGAGCAGATTTGATTGATCTCAACCATATTTGATCGATCAAATTGTTGCAGATTGTTAAAGTGAATTAGAAGTAAAAGTACTAGGGAGATTTGATATATCTAAACTATATTTGATCAATCTAATTGTTACAGATTGTTAAGGTGAATCATAAGTAAAAGTACTACTGGTGATATTTGATCAATCAAAACCATATTTGACCGATCAAATTGTTGCAGATTTTTAATGTGAATCAGAAGTAAAAAGGATACTAGGGAGATTTGATCGATCGTGTAAACAATATGATAGATAAGTAAGTAGTAAGTTAATTTGATCGATCATATTGTTGCAGATCATAAATACTAGGGATATCTGATCGATCAATTATGTATAATAATCGATCATGGAGTTACAGATGTAAAAGTTGAAGGGACAAGTGGGATTGTGATCGATCAAAAATAAATATGATAGATCAGGTATGATATATTTACTTAAATGCCGACAAACAGTAATAAATTTAAGTGTTGTAAGGGGGGTTTAGTAAATAATAAACATCGGATGATACCAAATAAACAAAGCAATGAAGTTGTAAATATTCCAATAAAGAATCAATTGAAGTCGTAAATATTGCCATAAAGGTAGTAAATGATGTATTTAAATTGTACATCTTCTTGAATTAGTTTATAAATTATTCATAAATTAATCACACATCTGTTATTCTGATCGATTGATAATATTTATTGATCGATCACGGAGTGGTAAATATCATAAAAAATACCATTGAATTAGTAAAAAAAATTCACAACTCTCGTAAAAAAAATAGATAACTCTCGTAATTATTAACTTCATTTTAGTAAAAAAACATTTACTATAGTAATTATTTATACAAATGTGGTAAACAACCCACTGAAGTGTTAAATATTGCAATAAATGTT